TGGTTTTGGTTTTTCTCCGGTACCGGGAACCGAACTCACGACCTTGCGCTTGCCAGGCAGGCGCTTTGCCGCTGAGCTAAATCCCCAGCCCCTATTTGCACAACTTAAAAAGTGAGAATTCTATGGTTCTTTAGGTAACCACCAACGTGCAGTTGGCTGGGTAGAATGGTTAGTATCTGTTGTTACAGGGATTCCAATCATCAACATCTGACATGTTTTCTCCATCTTTTTGAAATAAGCTCTGTGTTCTGTTCTCTATTCAGAAACATGATAGTCTTAAAACTTTCATTGGAAATTCCTCTTTTGATTAAGCCTTCCATACACACTTGTGCCTAAGTATATTAAATATTTATGTTTTCCTATTAAAGTGATGCTATTTACACTTGACTCTAGAATGTAGGCCCTATCAGTAGGATATAAGGGACAAAGCTCTGGCAGTATTAAAGTTAGACACTCATGTTTGCAAAGTTCAAAGGAAAATCACTATAAAATAAACACTCCTTGCTTAATTAGAAGTTGGTGTGGAACACATGGTACTGAGTTCTAGAGTTTGGTGGAGGAGGGCTCCAGGAGCTGTGTTACTGCTGCGAGCATGTGGAGTGCAGAGATGAGCGAGAATGCGTCTGATACTCAAGGCATGGGGTTCCTGGGATATTCAGAAAAATTAGCAGTTCAGTTATCCCCAGGAGGCCTTCCCAATGCAGACAGGCAATTAATGGTCCCATGGCTCCTCTCTTTCATTTACAGCTTCCTCTTCTTCAGGGAATGCTGGTTCGTTCTGGCCCTTCAGATGTTTAACCCCTGAAATTATAAAAAAAAAAAAAATGCAAAATTCAAGTGAGATTTCTTTCTAACAGATTCACTGCTCTGCTGGAAGGGATAAATGAGTGGAAAGTTTTCCATGGTGTATATGTACTTTTCTCCAAGAATCACAACAGTGTAATCCTACACCAACTTTTAATTCACTGAGCAACAGAAACACACCTAGCCAAATTTTCATTAGAGACAAGCTACTTTTATGAGAAAATCTCCTCTATGAAGAATTGCACCACACCCTATTAAAGCACTATTAGCGAAAATCTGCTCACAAGCTCTTATTACAGTTCTGATGTACTAAGTAGTTCAAATATTGCTTTTGGCACCCTTCAACTTGACTACAATGAGGACCATTGAAACCCCTAAGAACAAGAGAGAGAGAGAAAGACAGAGAGAGAAAAAGAGAGAGAAAATGTGTGTGTGTGTGCCATTTCTGTAATTTGTAAACAAAACAATCACAATATTGTTCTTCTTTTGAAATTTGAATCTACCCACTGAACTATTGAGCTCCTCTGTTCAAAATCCTCCAGCAAATGGAACTATAAAGTGGAGAAAACACTGGTGTCCCTTTGCCTGCCATACCCACTCAGATAAGTTGATTTCTCCTCACATTTTGGGCCTCATTTCTCATCAGCTCTTTTTCCTGCCTCTTATATTAATGTTTGCCTTAACATAATTGTAACCTACTCTTTCCCATTCCTTGTATTTCTGTTCTTACTTTCGCTTTCTTCCTCCCCGCACATCTAGGTATCTCCTTGCCTCCTCCGAAGACTAACTCAGTTCCCTTTGGAGACTTAGGTACCTCTTCCTGTATTCCCCCACTGCACTTGGAGCACTTCTTCTATCAACTGCCTCTTAGTGAATATAATGTGTTTATTTATATCTCTCTCATTAGAGCAAACTTCTTGAGATCAGAGAATATTTTTCCCTTCCTATGAACAATATTCATTTGATTATACACACAAGAATGCTGAAATTTAAGTATTAAATCTTCTGAGGATTATCAGATAATTTCTTTCTTTTCACCCCTTCTGCTATTCCCAACCACATGTATGCTCTGGGTTTCAGTTGCCCTTAAACTCTCATTCAGAGATGGAGGGGAAGAAAACATTGGTCTGGGAGTGTTGATGACATTCCTGGAGGTGCTTTTGCAGCCAAATGCTAATGAACATGAGGAAAACGCTTCACCCCGGTGGGGCTGTGGCTTGGCCCTGTGCAGAAGCCTCCTGGGCAAGCTTAGACACAGCCAGGGCTGTGGGCAGCAGGAAGCAAAGGAACCCTGGGAAATACAATGGAGGTACTTTTCTCCATTGCAGAACACACAAGGAAAGGGATCGTGCATTAAACCAGGATGTGTGGTGTGCCTATGTGAAGGAATAAAATAGAGGCTGAATAGAAGGAAAAGAAAGAAATGCTGCCCACAAGCAGAACAGAATGTTTATACGCACTTCCTGTTTTGTAGGTCAGGCGGTTCAATCTGGACTGGATTAATGTAGGAAACAACTGAGTGAACTATTATAAATAGTGAATCAGTTCACAGAAGCTTATACTTGACAAATCACAAGTCAATATTTTTGCTCCAATTACTCTGAAGCCCAAGATGGCAGCCTCAGTATATTTGTAGATGACACAAAATTTAGGGAGGGAAGTGACACGATGAATGGCAAAACTTGCATTACAAAGGCTTTCCAAGATCTGGAATGATGGCCTAAGGAATGAAGGTAGAGATCAACAGGCATTTTTGTTTAAGAAAGGTTATTTTAGCTCTAAAATAAACAGAGATGAGCTCCTACCATCTGGTCTAGTGAAGCTCTGTATTATCTCTAATGTTTTATCGAAGAATTATTTTCTTATTCTCTTTAATGGTTTGAGCAAGCTTTCATTCTTACATCTGGTAATCTGAGCAATGTAGTTGAGGACAGTGATATGTAATGTAACAACCACTGTCAATTCATATTATTTTGTCTTGAGACCCTGTACCACTTTGAATGTTCTTGCCTTAATTTGTTTATGTTTGTGATACTGGTATGCTGCTACTATTCTATTTTTTTTTTTTTTGTTTCTTATTTACTACTCTCTTTAAAATTAAAAAAAAGTGTTTTTTCTTTAGGGTGCAAACAACAATGTATTTTTCTTTAGGGTTGAGAAGTTTTAATAGTAATGTTTAATTTTCAAAAAATAAAAGTAAAAAACAAAATAAAATAAACAGAGAATGAGGGCAAACTTGATTGATCACTGTTAGAGATTTTAGGTGACCAGAGTTTTAATATGACTTCAGAAGCTATTGCTCTTTAGGGACAGAGCTGTTGACACCATTGGTGGCATTCCTAACGGCAAAATTGCATTGAAAATGCAAACTCCTCTCAGCCATGTGATGGTTAGACCTTTGCCATGATTTCCGCCTCATTCTTTCACCTGGTTTGAAAGGGTCCTTGAAGAGGGTAATCTAGGTTGATTAAAACTAGTTGTATGTGAAATCATTTTACCAGAAAAATTTCAGATAATCCTGGGATATTTAGCATAAAGACTTAAGAGCAGACAATAGAAGCTGCCTTTGAAATTCTAAATCACTGTAAAAAAAATTAAGTTGTGTAGATCTTGAAAGTAAAAATGGGGTCAAGGTTGACATTTATGGCTTGGGAGAGATATTATACCGCATTATAAAGAAGATAGTTCCTATATCCAGCCTCCCCTCCCCCTATAGTCTGGCAATACCAGCAATTGGAATTAAGAGCCTCCCATATGCTAGGCATGCGCTCTATCATTAAACTCCATCGGCAGTCTTAGTTTCTAAATTCTCTGTTTGCCCAGCAGAATGAACATGTGAGTGAGCTCTTCATCATGGCACATATTCAAGTCCAAGCTAAATTTTCATCCCTGAGGCAGGTCATAGATACACTGATAACCTCACTGTCCCTGAGATAGATGCTACCAATCTACAAAGAAAATATTTTTTATTACAGGAAACAACACTTTACTAAAAAAAAGACTTTACCGTCATATGATATAATTGCCCACTTCGCAGTTTAAAACTAATTCAGAGTAGTTGATGTAAATAGATTTTTTCTCAACCACATATTTTGGACCTTCAAGATCATTCTCAAGTGTCCTCTAGGGAATCTGTGGGTGGATTTTAGAGAGTGTCTGGCCCTCTCAGAATTCTATTTATAGTTGTATGTGTGCTTTTCTTGGGGGAAGAAGGTCTACAGTTTTTAGCAGAAATAAGGTCTGACCTCCAAATATTCATGCATATGAATATTGGTCTACTCTCTCACTTAAAAACAAAGGGATAGTTCAGATGGCAAAGTGACTTGCTTAAATTCATAGTCTTTGGCTGAGCTGGGACATAAATGTTGTTCCTTAACCTCCACTGGGGACTCTCTGTAACTGGGTCACTGGGGCTTCATCTTCTACAGTCCTTCATCTCTGCCAAAATTAGAACTTAAAGAAAAAGAGGGTGGCTCGGAATCATGGGATCCTTTTTATTAAAAAAAAAGAACTTCACATAGTGGATTTCAGTGTAACTTCTCAGTCTTCCTGTTATTGTTTTTAATAGAATTTGCTGTCAGGAAAATGCAGAATTTAAGTTTACCCAGAAACAAAATGATAAAAATAAATTTACTCAGGAACATTCCCTTAGTAGAAACAAATTACAAATAATTCTTAGGTCATTTGAAAGGAGTCCCCCTGTCTTTCTGCTGTGCCCAAGCTTGGAACTGGATTCTAGGAAACACACAGTAATACCGTCTGGTCTGTGGAGACATGGCAGTAATCATCCAGCACTGTGAGTTCAAGCTAATAAGGCTCCTTTCATGTGCAGGCAAGAGACACAAGTACAAGTCAGATGGGGATGTAGGCCAAGGGGTGATGGTGTGCGTGGCAGTGAGTTTAACTCAACAAAGACCTGCTAGAGCCCAGGAGAACAAATAGTGCATCAGGAAAGTTCTAATAAGAGAAGACCTCCAACTTGGATGACAGGAATTTGAACAGGAATTTACTGGACAATAGGCTGATTAAAGGAGAGAACAAGCTGGATGCCTATGAGATACTATTTACAAAATATACTGAGCAGGTATTAGTTTTCTGAAAACCCCTGATGTTCAAAGATCTGATTTCAGTGGACTTAGAAAGATGACTTTCTAATGGTTCATCAAATACTGACCCCAAAGTTTTTTTCGAAGTTTATGCTAGAGATAGTCAAATAATTTAAGCTATAATGTTGTAGAAAAAGGCTACCTCAGTAAAGGCTCATCATCTCTTAGACTGACACTATGTTTACATTTCCTAAAATATTTTCACATTTTAAAATTTTGTTTAATTCTTTTGTCACTTGCTTGTGATGAACAATTATACATTAATACACCGAGGATCACAGACAAGTGTCATATTGTCCAAAGTTGAAATCATATCATGTCTTAGACTCACCATGAATCTATCCTTTCCTACTTTGAAGGAAACTATATATAGATAGCACAGTTAATTTCTTTTCTAAATGGTAGCAAATCAACTAATATAAACTGCACATCAACAGGGAATCATTTCACTTAGGTCTGCATTAATTAAGGAAGCATTTCTTTGCAGATGCATAAACAAGTAACATCCCTCTCTTTTTAATCATACATAGGAACTGGAACATGTTTATGTACTATTGATAGGCATTCCTAAGTATTATATATTTTATGTATATTTTACCTATAATACAATTTATCAAAGCTGTTCCCCAAGTGTAAAGTGAAGCTGAAAAATTTAGAAGTAAATACTGAGAAGATAGGAGAGAAGCTACAGTTACAAACTATTATTAGAAGCGTCCATCCACATCCTACCTTTGGAAGATAAGCTGATGTCACTTATCACAATAGGCAGAGCCCACATCTTAATCAGTAAGTCTGAGGTTGTGGTCCAGCCTAGCATGAAAATCACTTGGATAAGTTAAGTGTCCTTTTTGCCCTCTGCAGTCAAGTATCCATCTAACACCCGCCTTTTCA